TGGCGCTCGTGCATCCAAGCTATTGCCTTCAATGCATAGCTTCTTTTCCACCCCCCCGCTTGACAACTCACTGAAAGTGCTGGATTTATGCACCAATTTACCAGCTCGCGCATGCAATGCGCAGCTACTTACCCCCCAATCATCGGTGAACGAAACTGTGGCAGCTACAACCAGTGTACGACCAGTACGCGGTTATTACAGCTGATAATAATGATGATGATGATGTTTTCTATTCGTTGAACTGCAGTATGGAATCTTGTGCACGACACATTCCCACGTCGGAACTTCTGAACCCGTCATTGTTCGACCCCAGTGTTTGGTCTCCTAAATAAACCGAGTTGCGTGCAACAAACGGTTGGTTGTGGCTCGTTCCTGTGCCCAATTCCCAGTCCGTGGATGAAAGGCTCACTCAGAGCTCACCTGAATTCTCCGTTAACATCGGTTGAGCATGCACGAGTCGTAAATACAATGTATAAACAAGCTGGTGTCCAAGACTGGTGAGAATTCTGGACCTACGCCAACCTGATGAACTGCACGATTCGTCAAACGGAGGGGAGCAGGAAATCTGGAGAACTCTATATGCATTGAATCCAGGAGGATACTACAAGTAAACTTACATGGTAGACACTCGAACTCCCAGGATGGGTCGACGGTATGGGGCTGTTCTGATCGAAGTCCGTCCTTGTCATTGTGCCTATTGCAGAATGAGAACATAAACGAAAAAGTGACCGGTTACGAGACACACACCAGAACGGTAGCGCCCATGATATTACGAGAAATAATCGTCATCGTAGTTGAGGAATAAAACTTGAACAAATATGAGATATTCAGTGGACGGTAACAACCGGTTGTCCTGTAGATGAGGTTCGTGGATAGACGACAGTGATCGTAATCGGTATTGGTGACGGGGGCGATAAACAGAAAGCACCCAATGGTGGGTGAAATTATTACCGATCACAGTCACGTCAATGCCTCAGTACTGCACAAGAATGTCGTCCTTCTAAAGAAGGACATTCTGATCTAGATGCAATCATCAGCTGGTCACATGAACACATCAGTCCCTTCAAAGGCTTAAATTGTTACCGCGTTTTCTTTCCCTTTTTAACGTTACAAAGGCCTGCTTAGTAGCTTTACAGGACGCCGTCCCCCGGCGTCCCTATTACCCCAAACGCGGGATGTTTGGCGCATCAAGTAACCACAGTCGGTCATTCCACAAGGTCAATCAACCAATGACGCCAAACTCTGAACGCTTTCTGTCCCCCTAGGTCTCACCCATAAGTTCGTTGCTGTGTATGTCATTCCCCACTGAATTCACTTTCAAGTTGTTCCTACCCAAAAATTTCTCCCGGGAGATTACTGCTTTGTTGTCGGAGCCTCACAGCACATCTCTGGGGATAATAGAACCTCGAAGAACCTTTAGGTTAACTCTGTGATCAGTAAGTACCTTGAGGGTTAATCCAACTCCACCCGAAGAATTTCTATGACATCTCCTCTCTTCATGAAACGCTCCGAAAAGATACATGGATCTCCTGCACCACTTCAGCTACCAACCACTGCTGTTAGTTCTGTGATTATTTGACCAACCTCAATTGAGCACATGGAGACATTGCACCCCAACTACTTGTTCAAAGCGTACATTGAGGAATTCTTTAAACGTTTTCTTTTCTTTCCAAGATGAAAAAATTCTATCGTGCGTGTGATAATCATGCAATTTTGTGGGCTGACGTACCACTCCAGTCATTACTTGACTGGAAAACTTCAACTGCATACATCATGATCAGCATTTGAAGGGGATATGGTGGGTAAAGTGGTGTCAGACGGTAGGAGATTCGAAAACCGTTCAGCCGTAGCACATTTCGGTGCCTACCTGCCATGCCACCCGAAGGCTGGGATACTGCCAGGTTGCTCAAGCCTAGACGGAGGAAATCGAAAAGCAGAGGTCGGGTTCGAACCACGGACCTTCTGGTCAGTAAATTCGCGCTCTAACCACTTGGGCCACCTCGCCCATCTCAGAAAATGTTCAAAGCGATGGGATGAAAGCAGTGAGGTACATTGTCAGAGTCTGTGGAAAGTAGAAGGGACTGCGCACAAAGAAAATTGTGGAAAAGTTAAAAGCAGCCCCATCCACCAGTGGAGTAGGGAGTGGTTGGTTAAGGGCTATTCATGGGTTAGCAGAGAACCGCATCTGATGATTCAGTCATAACACCACATACAACTACAAGGACAGAAACTATGGAAGGCGAATCCAAACTGAAGTAAAGCTTCACAGAAACAAAAAGGGATAACCCAACTGAGCCCGACTCGCTAAAAGCTGGAAGATAGCATTGTACATCTGCAGAGACACACGAGCATCGGCTCTGCGACAGAGTGGGCTAATGGACTGCTGCTAAATATAAAGGTAGGAGAAAACTTTGTAGACAGAATAATCAGGACTGTCGAATTGAAGACATCCAATGAGCAACCAGACACACGAAAATGATCGCACAACGCTACTCAAATTCCAAGCAAACTAATCAAGTTACGTGAAAGCCTCCAGGAGATTAACCAGCGTTTCTACCCCACCTCAACGTGATGCTTCAGGGCTTTCTGGTGAATCCCTTTAGCTCACTTCTGTTCTGATAAGCAACTCATATCAGGGTACACGGTAACTTGACATCTGCGGAGTTTTACCTGACCACCCAACCTCATATATTGGATGATCGATATGTTTGGGGGTTTCAAGCACACGCGTGACACCCGTACACACCACAAGATCTCCTCAACCTGAGTAGGCTAGATCTAACTCATGTGATTGCGGGCACGAAAGCGTTACACATCTCAGCTGTGCGTTAATGCAACGGCGTCAAGGAAGATAACTTTGCTCCCTAAATGTACGGTGTGGCTTCGTATACATTGCTAGAGATGAAACAACCCTCTAGAAATGGGAACTTTCGAACTACACCTAGCATTCCGTTAGTATGAGCAGTTTTCACGTCAGATTCCTGTCAACCGAGCAATATCCGTTTGCACATGGAAAGAGAAGAGTACTGGACCGTGTTCTTGTGACTGTCAAAGATGTGTCGTGCAACCGAGACTTTAGCAGACGCTTACCTCAGATCTCACGATACATCACAGAGGATCACCAATGTTGAAGTTGATAGGAGAGAGGAACAGAGACACATTCGATATAATCTGAAGAGTGTGCGGCCACGGTGTAATGGTTGAGCTTTGAACCAACATGCGAAAAGAAAAATCTCTTCACGCAAATTTATTCATCAGTGCGACACAACATCATGCGCATTGATCAGGTACATAGGATGCATTGCACGCCTTAGAATGTATTATTCTCACGACAATATCGTCTTCAAAAAGCTCGGGAATTCCACATCTCAAGCTTAAAAACAATGCCACTCACGTGCCGACGGTACAAACAGTGAGGAAACACCCAGATTACAGGAGCTCTTAATGCCACATGTGTACCGGATCACACGTCACACGAGTGCAAACACACCCGAATCCTTGGAGTTTAGCTCGCTATTAGCGGTTTGCACGCAGCACAGTTTGTGATTCACCTAAAACCGCGGATAAAACATTGTTGACCGGTAGATCGCTCTCGGATGTCAGCCAATTCGTCACGTCCTTTCGCAATCATTTTGGGCGAGCACCCGATTCTATTCATTGCCCACTTCAAACACCCGGGGATTTTAGCGTTTCAAACCGGTGATCACCTAAACCACGGGAAACGAGATAGGCATATCCGGGGTATCAATGCCTTCTATACACAAACCTCATCTTCACAGTGGCTAGGAGGTTTCCGCAGACGAGATCACCCTATAACCACATGTGAATGCAGAAACTAGTTCCAGCTCCTAGTGTGCATGGGACGACTAGTTACGAAGAATTTCATGGCCCTAGGAAGCAAAAAAGCACAATAAAAGAAGACGAGCTAAATGGATAAATTGTGTGCACTGGAGCACGAAGTTCGGAGCAGATAACCCTAACTTGGCTTCATTCGGTCTGCCTTTGCAGCAATTTTCCACTTTATGGCAGTCGCCCCAAAAGCAAAGCAACACACACCCATCAGATCTGACTCGTGAGCACAAACCGACTTATTGGCTTAAAATGGAAAGAGTAAACGGCAGAGAATGAAGACGTTCTCAGATCGGATGGAAAAGTAGATATGTAACAGAGAATAAGAGAGCTTGCCTGTCCAACTGCCAAGTCGACGATGTGATGGCATAACAAGATTGCGAGGGACAGAGTTAGAACCCGGATGGAGAGGGACTGGAGCTTCGTGAGCTCTAACTGGTTGACGATGAGCATGTGGATGCTTGGGTGGAGGGGGAAGAAGAGGAGGAACAAACAAATCCACTAGATGACGTGTTAGCTTGTGTGAAGTCGGAGACGAGGTGGCACTTTTGACAAACTGTGGTTTCTCGTCGTTGTTACAGTGCAATACGGCGTTACCACTGATAGTTTTGATGGGCGAAGTTGAGGGTTGAACAGGAACTGGCTTGAGAACAGAAGCACTGGCAGGGTGCCTGGTCGATAGTGCGAAGCTGGATTCTGTAGACGTAGAGAACCCGCCCGAGGTTGGTGGCTCCAAACGCAACGAGAGTTTATAGTTCGCATCCTCAATAAATCGCTGCAGTTCCTCGATATATCTCTGGGATTCGAGATAAGCGATTACCTTTTCATCTATCGCGAAGGCTAAATTGTAAAGAAGAGTGGTGGATAGTACAGATTAAACCGACGAGAAATGGTTGTATTTGGCTTGACTAGTAAAACAACGGGGAATGAAAATGTGTAAAATTTATTCTTTGGCGCTGAAAAACGCCATGAGTTATGTGCTATCGTTTATGGTGCGAAACTTTACGTCTTACTCAGTCAGTGAGGCAGCCTTATGTAACCTGCTCAGTGAACGGTTCTATCCTGACTGTCCAATATACCTGAAGCCGATTTTAAACCACCAGACTGTTCAAACAATCAAGGAACTGGGTCGACCATGTGTACCCGCACTGATTACTGCATTTATAAGTCCCAATAAAGTGTTACACTGGCTTTGCACTGAGCTCACAACCTCAGATACAAAAGTATCCGCAAAGGAACAACGCTACAGCCACCCGGGGGTTCTACTGTCCGAAATATCCTCCTATCCGAGCTCTTGAACGTAAATAAGGTAGCCTCAGTCGCTCTAAAGTACGGTTGTTTCCCATCCATTCTGTGTATAAGTTTACTACATGTGCGCAAAACCCTAATTCAAGGACTGGATAATTCAAACTCGAGTTTGAAGCCGACCTATTCCGATGTTGCATACATCGATCTGCACCCAGACACATGTCAACCCTCTTGTCAATCAGCGTTCAGTCATGTCTTTTTTTAGGTTAATTCATTGTAAACAGGTGAGATTTCATTTTCGCACTATTCGCGGTGACGTCAGCCACCGGGACTTGTCCGATAGCAAAACACAAAAGTGCTGACGCTCTAGAAGTGTTCACCATAACATAGTGTGAGAATGACTACCACAGTTGGTCAGTCAGTCTTCGTTTTCCGTCATGTTCCGGGTTTGACGACGCGACCAGAGCTGAAGACAGATTTATACTGAAAACCTTACTGTCGGCAGATTCCTCAAACCACAAAATTCGGTGAAGGAAATTGACGCTTAGTCACATTTGGATTCACAAATTTGTGCGCTGTTTGATTTCCAAAGACGACCGTTAATTATTCTTGGAGGTTAACAAGCTTAATTTCAGATCTTCTGGTGGAGTTTAAAATATCCTCTCGAAATGTATCATTCAACAGATCGGCATTTCTCCCTGGAACTGCGGTCGACTCATGCTGTTTGAAAGCGTTGTCATAAGGGTTCGGTGTTGCGTAGTGACTGCACACACAGGCTCAAGAGAGATCAGTGGGGTCAACTCACTGACCGGAAGGTCCGTAGTTCCGACCCAACCTCTGCTTCTCGACTACTCCGGCATAAGCTTGGGTAACCTGACAATATGTCAGCCCTCAGGCCTCCATCGTGTGGTATGACAGTTACGCACAGAAAGCGTGTTACGGATGAACGATCATTATTCCCACTGCTGTAGGTCACCGAAAGTTGTCGATTGCCCGATTGGCAAGCTTGCAAGCGATTTGCCTCTTCCACCATGAAGTGAATACGTGCGCAAATGCAGGTGTGAATAGTTGTCGGAAAATGCAACGTGTGGATTGAGTGATCGGAAAACTGAGCGAACTGCTCAAAACTTGAAGATGCAGTGCACTAATTGGGATATACGATGATATGCTGGTTAGTTTCAACAAATGACAGAAGGGTTGGCACCACCAAGGGAAAGTGGATGCGGCTAACTCACATGAAACTGAGTCACATTCCAGGCAGTTAAAACGATGAAGCACAATGACTGGGGACAAACCACTATCGAACTGTAGGCAACAGAGAACCATTGCGAAATGCAGTCGTGTAAGACGTCTACAAAACATCCAGCACATCTAATCGCAATAAAAAAAACGGAGATGGATCAACATTCCAAGACGCACGTCGAGTGAACGATCGGAAACTTGCGTAAAGTCTGTGTCACCTCATAAAGGAATACCGTAAATTGATCAGAAGAATCCTCATGTAGTGAGAAAAAATACACATTCACCGTTGTTATGACGATGAAAGTGAGTTGCGCGTTCCCAAAGTGATTTGAGCGTAAATCTGGCTGCTTAATTTGATCCAGACCAGACCGCTTGTACTCTTAAATCATGGTGCCTGAGGCATGACAACACGCTTCGATGTAGAAAATCATGTTGCCCAGCGTGGGGACCATATTCACTGGTTATCTGGTCCGCCGATGAATCGAGTTGATGGAGCCCCATTCGAAATCACCTTTAAACACATCTCAAAAGGTGAACCGCCAATGCCATACGTTGTTTTCCGCGTGTAGTCGTTCATGGGACCCAGCACTCAACAGAACATGCAAACAATGATCCATGCAGGTGTGACAAGCTTCAACCTTGCAAAGCTAGAAAGCAAGTTAGCTAAACTTATCTAGTGCAACCTCAGCCATGTGAACCTGCGCAAAATGCGAACGCACGTGCTTTGGCAGGATCGAACCTAAGGGTTACCGGTTCATGTGACAAACAACCTCCTGGAACCCGGATAAGTTTGATCCAATTTCTAATGACTATCCGTCTGATATTGTCAACCAGAGGGTGAAAACATCACTAACCGCGGCGTTAATCGCCAACACCTTGGTGTGTTAATGGACGGCCACCGGCAACACTTGAGGGAGATGCGATGTCACAGTTAAACCTAAAAGAATGTACAGATGACGCCGGTAACTCGGTAATAAACAGATAACTGATGTCGGTGTCCATCGCTATGCCCACCCATCGTATTCCATGGAACTTAGATTGGCACCAACAGGTTGCATGGAGCACGAAATTCGGCCCAGCGCAAACTGTCTGGTGGTTTGACCGCTGTTGACGGGCAAATCCGATTCGGATGACAGCCATTCACTTAGAGTGTAGCTCACTCAAACCTTGTAAGCCCTTTTGAGCAGTGATTTTAACCATTCAACTGCAGGAAGCAGCAACACAACTTTCGCGGTTCGGCATCTAACCGCGGTAAAGTGCGGTCAGATAGCGATCGATGAAATGTATGGTGGTATAGTTTCAAGGTCCGTAACTGCAAGCTGCCTGGCACGTCAAGGTTACAGAATGCTCTCAACAAGGTGGCCGAAAAAGGTAAATAACTGGGTGTCTTCGAATTCCTGTGGAAAAGTACATCTTGGTTGCATGCACAACTATAAAGAACTTGTATATTCTGGTAGTTCATGGATTGTACTTCTAAAATAAAGACTGTTTGTACTTTCTGGTCCTCTCTCTTTGGTGGGGTAAACAGCAGTAATGACGCTGGCTCACACTGGAGGTGAAAGCGTCACAGTCTGGCCCAGTTGCTCCCGGAATTCCACATCTATTTTATACCTGCGTCCCATTAAGACAGAGGAATTCGAGAAGTGCATCGAAAGGACTTTCAGCGAAATGGAACCATCTAGGGTTAATGGGTGAGAGGGGGTGCAGGAACAGTTACAAAAAGTACTCACGCAGGAATGTCTTGATACTACGACTGATGAAGTGTGAAAAAGAGAAAGGCAAGTGATTTATGCGTAAGGTAGCCACACAGAATGACGCGTAGAACGTAGAATCTTGACAGTCACTTTTGAATGCGTTTGAATCAAGTCGATTGGACGCCTAAACAAGAACCTTGAGGAGCTGAAGATGTCTCCTCGAATGGTGACGAAACGTTTGCAAATCAATTGCCAAGCTCGGCGAATAAATCAACAGCCACCTGATCAATTACCATGTGATTACACTCTTCGAGAGTCAGTCACAGGTGGGATATGAAACACCCATGAAACCGTGGCACCCAATAGTAGATGAACATAAGTGATATAACTCCAAAATCAAACCATGGCCATGTTCTGGAGGGTTTCACACTTTTATAATGCTTCCGAATGGTCAACAGAACCCGCGCAATTCGAACATGGGGTATTCATCGTTCCAACATGCTGACAAAGTGGAAAGGCTTGAGTTCCCCTATGAATCAATAAAAATACCGGATGAAAGGACCGACCACGTAGGAAAAAAAAATTGTAAAGGCTCTGGTGAATGCCGCCCGAAAGTGAGCGAGTGAGCAAACTATTACAATCGGAACCCTCCGCTCTAGTTCGGGGTTTTGTCTGTCCAACCGGTATCAGTTGATTAGCATACACAAGCACACTAGTCGGATGCGCCAACAGTGATTAGCATAAGCTTCCTGACTCAGTAAGATCACACACAGCTTACGGATGTGTTTCAGTGACCGGCAAATTGACGGACACTTACGGTAGTGAGATTGTTGAAAGTTGGCGATTGTACGGAGCACATTGTTGATTCGGTCTTGCTTGACCTGCTGACTCCATACGGTCGAGGAGTTTTGATGCTGAGCTGCAGCTGAGGCAGCCACATCAATGTAGGTGAGATCGCTGAGGTAAACACCTGAGTGACAACGGACAGAAGAGGGAGAACAAAGGGACGAATGAATGACGGAACTAACACAGTACAGACAAACGTACAACAGATCTCCGCTTGAGGGAAAAGCCAGAAATTAACGGAATGGATACTTCGGAGAAGGTATATGTAAACTATTCTCACAGTTAAATCCACAAAAAAGAAATTTGACCTTGTCTAAAAGCTCTCAAGATTTCCATTATGATCGAATAAACATCAGTTATGATTGCAGCTCTGGATCAAGTAAGGGACAGGGTGCATTGAACCCAGTGAATAATAGCATGTAAGTACTATAAACACACTTGTGTCTTTGAATCCTTCCTTGGGATCCGTCAGATGGTCATCGCTGGTTCAAGGTCAAAAACATTGTACACTAGTTGTTCACTTTTCAGAATGAAAGTTACATTTGGACTTGCACGAACTCTGTAGTCAGCGTTCATTTGCAAATCAATTTGTTTTTCACGAGAGACTGAACTGAATCTCTCGTTTATAATGTTCTACAACTGAATGTTTCAGTTGGCACGATATTCGAGATATCGCAGTATATTTTCATAAAGGAAACTACTCACAAGGTTGCTGAAAACTGTTCGACAGCCTACGACCGGTTTCGCACTTCTTGTGGCTCTCGCCTAAATGTGCTGTATAAGCCTCGATAGACGAGTCTTTTTAGCCGTCAAAACTAAATTGATAGGCGAGTGAAATTTTAGAGAATGGTACGATTATTTACTGTAAGCGGAGTAGCACCTGTGTACCGCATGACCGGCTGTTGTAGATCGTAGGGGAGTCCTCACGGGATTGCGACAATCACCATGGCAATTGAGAGTGATCGTCAGTGTGTATTCCGTATGGATTTATGCACTTGGCGCGATCAATCAACTCCATTCATGTTGTTTGACAGCTACATAATGTGCAGCCTTGAGGCAATAGGTTATAAAGCGGGAGCAGCTTTGAACTTCCAGTGAACCGAGATGAGCGGGCTGATCTCGAAAATCAAACTCGTATAAGTCTAAACCGAACCGCCACAGTGCCTCCGTTTATCATCTCAAGCATGACGCCGTACTGAACGTTTTCCTAGAAAATAGAACATAAGGCTGACGGAAACTCGTGGCCTCCGCCTACCTGATGAGTCCCAAGAAGGGCGAAATCGGTCGTGGGCCGTCGAAGAGTTTTCAGCAACCTTGTGAGTAGTTTACTTTCAGTGTTGTCAAACAACGATCGATCGTAGATTGATTATTCTACCACAGAAAGCAGCAACCTGGCTGTGTTTTATTAAAGTTGACTCAACCTGGGCTTGTCGAAGACAAAATTGGACGTCTGGTGGAGGAACGTTTGCTACCTAACACAAACCGAGTGTTGCACGAATAAGATTGCCTGACGGTTCATTCATCATGTGTGACATGGTGGAAAGTTCAACAGATGAATAAACCTCGGACCTTATACATGATTATCCTATTCGGGTTTCCTGGTCATTTCCACAGCCACGAATGCTGACCGAACCAGAACCTTTCCAGAATTTGGATTCAGACGATGTTTTGTTAAAATGTACGAAAAGCGCACATACTAGCTTTCGTGTCCTCCAGCTTTTGACCGCTGTACCACAGCTATCAGACCATCAATTGTACACAATGTACCAAGGTTCCAGTTGCTACAGTTTCGACCACCGGAAATGGGAAACAGGGGGAGATTCACCAAGCATTTGAAGTGATATATAGCTCGCAGGGTGTATTGATCTGAGGGATCGAGAAACTGGACAGCTAAACATTTATGGCGACAGCCTTGATGCAGGAGCGCCACTGGCTGCAAGCTTCAACTGTGTCATCCAGGGAGGCAACGCTGTCAAGCCAACTCAGTTTACTGGTTCGTCTTTTAGTACTTCGTTGCAAGGTCATAGAAGGTCCACTGCTTGCTCGCTTCCACTTAGAAGAGGATTGGGCTAAAACAGCTGTGCGAAGAGGAGGGTCCTCTAGTATGCGGAACACACATCCTTACCAGCGTGAACTTTGATGCACCAGTAACTCACCCATCGTGGGAGAGTTCCTTTTCCCTAATACCATCTCACGTACCTCAGCATTGTTAATCTGATGCTCCGATCAATGCTTCGGAGACACCTATGATCGAATACTGACAGCAATCGTAAGTCCTGTGCGTGTAGGGGCCACGTTTCCGATTCATCAAGCAGCATAGATCGCATCGCTACCCTTGATGGACAAACTGACGTCACACCAGCGCCATAACTGTCGATTGTTCGCAAAAGATGCCCCGATCCTTCCGATTCGAGAAGTAATCTCGTCTCCAGCAAGTTCACCGAAACTTATACAACCGTCCACTCCGGTTGGCTGGTCTAGAAGCAATAGATTTAGGTTTGATTCGCGGCAGAATTATTGAGGTTATCCTGGCCTAAAAATTTACTCACACAGATACAGCGTGTCGAGGAATATCATAAAAGGGAGATTCAATCAAAAACCAAATTGGTATGCAAATCCGTGCATTTGTCAAAACATGCGCGTAGTTGTGAGACAGGCAGCTGTTTGTCACATACACAAACAACACTTCGTACCTGTCCACTTTGTGAGTAAGCAAGTATACTTACTCCGTTAGGACGAGTAGGTTGATTGTGAAGAATGATGCAAATGCATACACAATAGAGGCGCACTTTGTGGCGACCTGAAGTAATCGGAGAGAGAACAAGCCAGAACTATTACCATAACAACCAGGCGCGACCATCACCGCTATCCGGAAACATGGTTACATTTGTACGGATACAGAGGCATTATTCAACACCACGGATCGATCAATCATCGCGACCATGGCGATGGAAGCGAAAGTAAAAAGGAAACAAAATTACAGGCTGTTAGACGGTCCAATTAGATGAGAGGACTAAAATTGGGAAATAAAGTATCATTTTGAACATGACGTCCAGAAGTCCATTCCATTGACAAAAGCCGCTAGGTGAGGGCTACTAACAGTCTTGTGCCAACTCAAAATAGCCAGGAAAAATTGGGATACTGTCACCGTTGAAATTGATGTACAAACGCACATTGGGTCGAGCCGGTCGACGAAAATGGATGAATGATTAGATCACACAGAGACGGTGGATATAAATCACATTCGGTAAAAATCAAGGATTTTGTTTGTGTAAGGTTGTATATTGCTCAAGTTTCCGCGGGGCGAAATATACATACCTCTCAAATTTAAATTCAAAACGATATAAGACCATGTATTTTTGTAACCTGAGTGGTTTTGCTGTTTTTGGTGTTCGAAATCAGTTACAGGGGGCCGAGATGGCCCAAGTGGTTAGAGCGCGAATTTACTGACCGAAAGGTCCGTAGTTCGAACCCGACCTCTGCGTCTCGACTCCCCCTGTTTGGCTTGGGCAACCTGACAGTAACCTAGCCCTCGTGCAACCTTCGGGTGGCATGGCAGTTAGGCACCGAAAGGGTGCTAGAACTGAACGGTTTTTTTCAGGTTGGCGAACCAGTCAGGTGAGTTATTACCAATTAACCACCGCCCGGATTATCGACCGATAAACATATCCATACAACCAATCAAGCCCATAGGTCCAGCACACCTGTTCAGACACAGCATATTTGCACTCATATTTGTCCAAAAAGCTGTGGTGAACGTTGAAAACATTAAAAGATCAAAAGTCTATGAATTTGATGTTGTTTGTCCAGTACTCACAAAAGACTGAAATGAACAGGGAACTGTGCTTAGCACATGACACAATGCGGCTGGCAAGAAAGATTGTTTGGTTCCAAAAGTGAATGTCTTCTGGCAACTTAATATTCCCCCCCCCCATTATTGGAACTTCTCGGTTTAAGGTAACAGTTCCCTTGGGCTCAGAGAGCCACTGCTTCGAAAAAAAGCATACATATGCCCGACTTCAGTCTTATGGATGTATCCGGAATAACTGTGGTCTGTTTGAACTCGAACACTCACGCGTACCTACTTATAATTGAACCTAGTAATAATCCAGGTATTCTCGACAAATCAACAACAGCTCAGTTGAGTGCCACACAAAGCTTATCCAGAATAATAGTGCAAGAAGGAAAGACCTTCGCCGCGAAGTCATTTACTAACGAACACCAACCAAACAGTTGCAAACTATTGGACAGGAAACTGATCATCTTCACGCGTGTTTTTGAACTTTTGCGAGCATTTATTGACCACCACGCAATTGTAAGCGAACGCTGCAAACCAGTTCGACAAGTTCCGTAATGAAGACCACCTTCCATTAAACGCCAAACGGAGTTACGAGAAAACCACATACTACTCACATGCCTCGTCAGTAGATTCGCCATTACGCTGGTACCACAAGTGATTTTAAAAAAAGAATTTAGGGGAAAACATGTATGGTAACAGAATGCGCGAACATACGTCTGCTGGAGTGCAATGCTGTTCACATGCTGAGATTCAACCGATGACGAACAGTGTACTAATGAATAATAATAATAATAATAATAATAATAATAATAAATAGTAAATAGTATGCTGACAAAACTCGTTGGTTCACAGAGTATCACACATCAGGACTGTTTGTGGCGCATAAGTGATATCAAAGCGTGTAAAGTCGATTGGGTGTGACGCATTCATGAAACACATTTCTCGTCCAACACAGTCAGGAAGGAAATTCAAATTTGAATAAAAAGTCAAATAAAGTATGGAAATAAGCCATCCAAATGAGAAAACGCGTGGACAAAATACCGAGTGATTTCAACTAACCTAGATAGGGGATGCACGGTAATCGCGCATTATCCACAGCCGTGCGTAAATTGGTATAATTCTGATCCTGTGAGAATAACTCAACCAATTTCCGAAAAGTCGAGCGGTCACGTGATGACAAGGCAGCCCATGTGGCAGAGAGTCGATGAACGCATTGGACCTGCAGTCCAGAAATGATGGCCATACCGGAGCCGTAGTTGTTCATATCGACCAGTTTCTTCATTCCGAAGACGTCGGGCAACGTGTCAAAAAGTGGGAGATAGTGGGACTTGGTAAGTGTACTGAAAGTAATCACGGCCAACTACCAAAAAAACAGTCAGTTGTTATGGCAGATTTGAGAGTTGCGTCGGTTATGCTAACCAGGCCATAAAAATAGTGTGATCCTGTGCTACAAAAGTGTTACAGATCGTGAAACGTGTTGCCCCACTATTGTGTGCCGAGGAGTATGTTTGCTAGCTTGGGGGCGAGATGGCCCAAGTGGTTAAGAGCGCGAATTTAATGACCGAAAGGTCCGTGGTTCGAACCCGAGTTATGCCTCTCGACTTCCTCTGTCTAGGTTTGAGCAACCTGGCAGCTAGGCACCGAAAGGGTGCTACAGCTGAACGGTTCCAAGTAGAACCACCAACAACCGTGTGAGCAAAGCAAGTGTGTTTGTATGGCACTTTTACGAGTGGATACGAGTATTATGCTGGTTTGTCCTAACTTGTCTTTCAGTTCACAGAGGATATTGAAAACCTGCCGCCCGTTCCACAAAGCCAGGGCAAATTGTGTCGGTTTTGGTGTTTCTAAAGAGGTCACGGCAGCATGAAAAAATCGTTCAGCAGTAACAACCTTTCGGTGCCTAGCTGCTATGTCACCCGAGGGAAGCACGGGGGCTGGAATACTGCCAGGTTGCCCAACCCTAGACAGGTCGAGAGGCAGCTGTCGGGTTCGAACCACGGACCACCTTCCGATCGGTAAATTCGCGCTCTAACCAATTGAGCCATCTCGCCCCTCACAGCAACATGTCATCTGGCGATTCGCTCATTTGTTGACAAAGATATCTGCTTGGTTTACCATAATCCTCAAAACCAATACGTGACAAATTTTCAGTAGACACCCGAAATTTAGTTGCAGGAGATTGTTGATCATCTTAAAACCGAGGAGCTATGTGATGCTTCCGTTGTTCTCCTCTGTTTCACTCGAGCATGCGGTGCTAAAGTCTGGGTGAATAAACACCTGCCACCTATCCGTCTATTTTTCACGCACGCTGGATACATCATGGTCTGCGGGTTGTACAAGCTTCGAACGGACATTGCCACTACCAATAAACATTCAACCAGCGACTGTAATCATGCAATAGGTCTAATTTCTGTGTTTCATGGAACAGGGGAGCTGTGAGCCGGTATTGTAACACGGATACTGAAGACGTGTGTTCAACTGATGTTCCGCTGATCGAACACAGGAGTTGGATCAACAAAGTTGCATCACCAGGTGAGGAACTACCTACTCAAGAAGGAAAGCAGTAATCCTGTCGTGATCATTTGTTGCTTATAAGCAGCATACAGATTGTACGTTAAATCTGGTATTGCCTGGGTGGATTCAAGGAAGAACTGGGACACATATTCTTGAAAGCCACATGGCATGTCTTGATTGGTTGAGCAACGATCAAAGAAGTCAATCAATACGAGAAGCAATATGTGAAGCATGCCGTCGAAATCGTATTGGACTGCCTCATTGCTAAAAAGAAAACGAAACTAAAAAATGTAAAGCGGCCGCTGCGAAAGGGAGTTGAACATTTCAGTCCGAAACACGACGTCCCCAAGTGCTCCTCGCTTATCAAGCTCAATAACTGCCTGATAAAATGGAAAGAAGTGAACAAGAGACAAAGCAACCGTAGTAGACTTCACCTGCCCGATTAGACCCGGAAATTTAGTGAATACACACGGTCAGAAATGCCAAAACTCACCCAAATTCATGAGTTGGTAAATGTCACAATCAGTCAAGTGTTGGTAATTTTACGTCAAAAGTTCGAGGCTGGACAACCAGAGGCAGATTTACTTAGCAGCGCATGAAAGTGTTGAACTGCACATCGCGTCTCCAAGATCATCCATACAGTTCAGTTTTTCAGCTCAGAAACCGTGCACCGCAAGGCTTTTGCCTTCCAACCAAATCAATTTCGGTTCCAGTTGCGAATGCCTCATGTTGACCATAGACCCAGTCATTCGGCATCCGACTTAATGAAGTCGGTTCGGCCGGTTTGGCCTCTGTTGAAACAGTGTGCGACTATCGCATTCCAACGAAGGTAGTAGCTACACATACCATATGGAGAGGAAAAGCGGGCGAGCATGACGGGTATTCTAGCATAGGTGTCATTCTCTGTCTGTCCGATTACAATATAACTGAGTGAACGAAACTGATTGTATTGCAAATCAATTTGGTTTTCACGGGAGACTCAATTGAATCTCTCGTTCATGATGTCCTCCAACTGAATGTGCAGTTTGGGTTCAAGTAGATCATAAGGTTGATGGAAACTCGGGGACTGCGCCTACTTGATGAGCCCCAAGAAGGGCGAAACCGGTCGTGGGCTGTCGAAGAGTTTTCAGCAACCATGTGAGTAGTTTCCTTTGTGAAACTGATTGTACTTAGTGGTGAGTCCAATTCCCACAGCACCGATAACCGAAGATGGCCTACACAACATTGCATCTGCCTTAACTACGAATAACGTGAACGTTTCCTACGGACGAAGTTTCACAGCTGCCTGAAGGTAAAACATTTATTACTGGTCCAGAAATTCTTCCCAGAGAAATCATCTACTTGCCACAAGACCGCTGTTGACTGGAAGAATTTCCTTCGCGCATGACGGCTTCTGCACACTCCAACAGTTATCGGCGGCTCAGGTCTGCATGTCGTGATCGATGAAACGCTAATATCTCGCCGTAAAAACCACACAGGACGAGTCCTTCACCAACAGTGGATTTTCGGAGAGATCTGCCGGGAAACTAAAGAGGCGTTCATGTATGCAGTGCCAAATCGAACTGCGGCCACTTGGATGGACACAATCCGGGCCTGTATCGCTCCTGGCTCAATCATTATCTCCGATTTTTGGGCATCATACCAAGGAATTGAAACGATGATTGACATGAATTCTACTCATAAAACAGTTAATCATTGCGAAAACTTTGTGGATCCAACGACTGGGGCTCAAACACACTAACGCGGCACACACCGATCTTCAGCGGACAGCTACTTGTGTGAGTTTGTTTGTAGGCAAAGGTACCGAAAAACGGACCTTTGCATGCAAATTATTAATGACGTTCCAAGTTAACCCTCCTCAATAAAAACTAAAAGTACAGTTTCATATCCTCTTTTTTCTAATATTTTTGGGTGGCGGGGGTTAATTTTTTGGCGGAGCTTATCTGGAAAAGATCCGGTTTTAATCAGCCTTAGTGAACATGCGACGGAATGTTTTTTCTAGTCTGGAGTACATACGTCAGTCATCCAATACTTTCGCATATTAACACAACATGGTGGAATGTGTACATTGGTCATCGGTTCCTGTTAGAGGACTACAAGCTAAACTCGAACTTATCACGGACGAGTGTTCGAAAACAGGGATGAAATCAGTGTAAACTATTCGCAGCTTGGCGAATACCGAGTTATCGCCCGTTTGTTTCACATGTAGCACTCCCGTTATCAGGAAGGTCAGATTCCTGAAAGTAACCTCAGAACGCCCGGAACCTACTGAGACCCTAAAAATCCACCAAAATCTCAATAAGGAATCCGGCAAGCATTCAGGCCAGTCAATCATCCAATCAGTTCAGCAAAAGCTGATGAGTGTTCATGCACGCCATAGAAGCACGACCGAATATGATCAGCGTTCAGACATTCTATAGAGGCACGATCGATGTTGATGGGTGCTCACATCAGACAGCCTGGATCAATATCAGAAAGTCTCCTTTAAATAACGTGGAGCCGTTGTAACTTTTGCTCTCGCATTCGCACGCACTCACTCACTTGTGTTCCCTGCTGAGTCATTTTCCCGGCACTAGGCATTGGAGCGGGTTAGCAGCAGATACCACAGATTGGCGGATCAGCAGATATAACACCCATTCATCGACTTTTTGTGCCCCAATCCATTTTCCGTCTACTGTGCATAGTGTTGTGGCTCATTGCATACCCGCACTCGTGTCCACTCACACACACAAACACACACACACACAAACGAAAAATGGCAAGCGCACACGCATACATGCGCTAGCAAGCTCAATCTGATTACCGCTCAATTTTGAACTCTGTTTTCAATCGATCGAAGTTCGGTATGATCTGAACAATAGTCTCAACCGCACATGTTCGGCTGCTAGATGCAAGCAATAAACCCCCCGAGGTGATAATTCGGTTTCTAGATAGTCTAACCGTGGAGATCAGATGTGCGAATGGGTCGTGTTCTTATACGCAATGAACGCGCACATCGGTTGCTGCAAGTATATTTCGGTTAAATCAGTAGTCCTACGTTGGTCTAAAGTCTTCCATGTGTCCCAGCTCAATCTTGTTTCATTCCGTGCTGCAACTGTGACATGCCTTGAAGAATGATGCGTTTATTCGGGGATATTGATATCCCCAACAGTTTCTTCCTGGCGTAAAACTAAAATCGATCATTACAACATAGATAAGCCCAGCGAATGCAATGCTTTGCGACCTACCATTCCAGGATGCTCGGACATTTAAGCAGTCTCTTGAACTACAACTGGGAGGTAGAATCATGGGATAGAGGATTCGATTGGCTCCGGGTGAGACAATGCTCTGCTCTTGGGAGGAACTCAGAATTTACTGGGATCTTCAACACACCTATGGAAGTGTACTTCGCACACCAGGAGCTGAACAAGTGCTAGGCCCTGTAACCCAGAGAACCATTTCCATTCTCAGATATCACCTCTTCGACGAGGAATTGCACTGAAAATTTTCGAATCGACGTGGGGTGTATTTTCCACTGGAAGAGTTCCTCAAAGAAAGGTGTAACGCAATGAGAAGCCTTGAAACAATTCTCAGGAGCCATCCACATCTTCCCAAGGCAAAATAATTGTGGAACCACAAAGAGAGACCGTCTCCTGCGTTTTATTTCTTATGCAGCATGTTTCCCGAGAAGAGAACAGCATTTCTATTCTCAGATATCACCTCTTCGACGAGGAATTGCACTGAAAATTTTCGAATCGACGTGGGGTGTATTTTCCACTGGAAGAGTTCCTCAAAGAAAGGTGTAACGCAATGAGAAGCCTTGAAACAATTCTCAGGAGCCATCCACATCTTCCCAAGGCAAAATAATTGTGGAACCACAAAGAGAGACCGTCTCCTGCGTTTTATTTCTTATGCAGCATGTTTCCCGAGAAGAGAACAGGTCTTCATAGCGACGAAACCAAGCATCAAACGTTATGCCAGCTGAGGGTTCATAGCAAAACTCGTTGATACTGCCAGCGATTCCATCAACCGACTGTGGGACGCTCGACGCAGCCGGTGAAGCCAAAGATGTAGGTGATAGTCGCTCC